ATGTGTCATAATGACATTGTCCTAGATTAAATATTATTAAAATTCTTGTCAAATTTTATAAGTGTTTTGAATAAAATTCAATATCATGAATCAAAATAAATTAAGTATAAAACTTTTGTTGTTATAAAGTAAATAATAAATACTTTAATAGAAAACTATTTCTAAAATGCCATTGTATTGATAGTTTCAAGAGCTGATTATATTAAATTTACGTCCTGTTTTTAAACTGAGAAAGTATGCAATTTTAAGTCACTGATTGATAACAAGAACAAGATATAATATCATTTAGATTTTTTAGAAACAAAGCAAATATTGAAAATGAATGTAAAAACCTCTGCCATTACTTGATCAATTGATTCATGCATATTTCATGTAATTATTACTCTAGACCACAATAATTGTGATATATTGTATAAAAAATAACCTTTAACTAGTTGTTATTGTTTAACACTCTAATGAATAAAATCCATAACCGTAATTTTTGCTAATATTTAATAAATGCATCTTTATGATTTATTGTGAGGTAAAAAATTGTTGCTTAAATAAATACAGGGTGAGCCACTGAAAACTTACAATGGCTATAATTTTTAAACCAAAAAAGACATCAAAAAAATAAAAAATGCTGTTTCTATAATATCGAGGGGGAATACATATGACGTATTTTTTGAACCACCCCGACCTACCCCTTAGGCGGCACCCCTACTTACTTGAAAATCTTAAATGGCAACACCCCACTTGTGGCGCCTTTTTGGAAAGCCCATGAAAAATGCTAAACGATCATCATAAAGTTTTTAGGGTGAAATTAAAAACTAGCCCTTACACGAAAAATTAGGTAGACATTAATGAAAAAGGTGATTTTTTCAGCATAAATTACAAATTGGTGCCCGGCTAAATGAGGTAAATGAGGTGCCACCCTCTCTTTTCTAATCTCAAGATAGCGATACCCCACTTGTGACACTTCTTTGGAAAGCTAATTGAAATTGCTAAACGATGGTCATACAGACTTCAACTTACTTACTGGTAAGTAGTGATAAGAAATGTAGGTGTGACAATTTGAAAGAAATTTAAAATGATAACTTATTTTAACAATTGCTCAAAATGACAGCTGTTTTGTTCCATACAAAAATACAAACGATTTTCAAATTCTTCTCTCACTTTTTTGGAAAGTCTCCCTCGGAATATTGCAACATGCTTCAGTTCTCCTCTGCCGCAATTCTTGCAACGAACCTGGTTTTGTCTTGTAAACTATGGATTTAGTGTAACCCCACAAGAAAAAGTCTAAAGGAGTGAGATCAGGTGACCTTGGCGGTCACTCGATTGGACCCCTTCTGCCAATCCATTGCCATGAATAATATTTATCCAACCACCGCTTTGTGACAATAGAATAATGCGGAGTGGCTCCATCTTGCTGAAAGTGTATGAGGTCTTCATTAAGAGTTATAATAAATTTCTCTGTACCAGTTTTTTTTGCTAGTACAGTACATGGATACAAAAATAATTCATTCTATTGATTTTGACACGTTTTGACATTTTTTTTTAATTTTTAGCTCCTTTTTTTGTTCATTTTTATGACGTCGTTGAGCATTTTTATACGCTTTTCAAAGAGGTGTCACAAGTGGGGTATCGCTATCTTGAGATTAGAAGTGAGGGGTGGTTTGAAAAATACCTCATTTGCCTCATTTACCTGGGTCCTAATTTGTAACTTATGCTGAAAAAATCACTTTCTTAATTTTTATGTCCACCTAATTTTTCGTGTAAGGGGTAGTTTTCCAATTTCACCCTAAAAATTTTATGATTATCGTTTAGCATTTTTTATGGGCTTTCCAAAATAGCGCCACAAGTGGGGTGTTGCCATTTAAGATTTTCAAGTGAGTAGGGGTGCTGCCTTAGGGGGAGGTCGGGGTGGTTAAAAAAATACGTCATATGTATTCCCCCTCGATATTATAGAAACGGTATTTTTTATTTTTTTGATATCTTTTTTGGTTTAAAAATTATAGCCATTATAAGTTTTCAGTGGCCCACCATGTATAACTCGTGTTATTGATTGCCTTTAAAGTTGTTTGTATAATACCTTATTTCGTATAGGGTAAACAAGTATTAGTTAACAGGGCTTCAAGTTTCAACAGTCAGTTGGATAAATGGTATTTTAAGAATTAAAAAGCCAACATATATTTTGATAGGAAAGAGTCCAGGAAAAAAACATGATAAGCACAATTTTACTAATTTTTACAGGAGAACACTGGACGGCTGGTGGTTATCAGGTTCTTTCTGTGTATTCTAGATTTTTACTAGGCATATATCATAGGATTTAACAACTTATTACCCGGTAGAGTTAATATTGTTAATAAGAACCAGTTAGATCTACTAAAATATTGTAAAATATTACCAAACAACCCTTGCCATATAAATTTTTAATTATAATTATGGTCCTGCAGAAAATCAAATTTATTTTTTCCTTTAATTAAGCAATCAATTCTCTACAATAATATTGGTCTAAAATGCAGAATAATTTTATATTTTTGAGTAAAATTTTAAGAAAACCAGTATTTTTTGAATGCTAAATTTAGGCTCCTATATTACTATAAAATTTTGTTCTTACAATAATTTAGGAATAGTTTTTTAAGTTCAGTCATCTACATCTACGAGTACTAACAACTAAATGTTCCGACAAACAAAAATTTATTAAAAATTTTTATTTTCATTAACTGAATTATTTACATTTAAGAAATACATTAAAAATATATTAAAATCTAACATTTCTAATGAGTATTTAAATAGTTTAGTTTCTTATAAACATTTAAATAAACTGTAGGCCAATAAATAAACAAAAAGATTGCACAATATCGTGACAACTAAATGTTCGGACACTTTAAAAAATAACTGTTCTAATAAGGCGTTACATCGGCATGAACTTTTGCAACCACTGCAAGCCTGTTTGGCATTGTTTTTATTAATGATTGACTGACGCCAGAGTAAAAATTTTGCCATTAATTAGCATTAATGACCATTAGCACTTAATATCATCGTCAAATGGGCAACGGTTTCTTGGGGATCGTGGCACAATTTTTGTTTTGTTTTATGCCACGTGTCTCGATGACATTAAGGTCCGGACTGTGCGAAGTCTGTGCATGTCCCTAAACCATTTTTAGTAGTTTCACCTGTATGGCATGCCCCGCCATCCTGTTAAAATATAAAATTATTGTCCTGGTCTTTACCAGAACAATTGGTTACATCGTACCTTTGTCCTTCCCACTCGAAACAAGAATATTTTTCAAAATTTTTGGATTTTTTGAGGCATCAATTATGCCTTCTACCACCTCATACTTTGGACATACTCCTTCAAATCATAATGCCTTTAGGAAATTTCACTGTCCATTGTCCTAATCTTTATCAAATAGACACTCTAGCGGTGTTAATTATATCGATATTAAGGTGGCTCCTGTGCACATGTAATTCGTGCTCTTGCCATTTGCGATTGGAATTATTAGCGTCGGATTGGGAAATTATTATATTAGATATTTTACCTTAATGTCATTTTGGTAGTTTGTGACATCAGAAGTTCCAATCCGACGCTGATAATTCTAATCGCAAATTGCAAGTTCAAGGATTACATCTGCACGCATGCATGATCTTTATGAAAGATGGACAGTGGAATTTCCTAAAGACATTATGCTTTTAGAGTTTATGTCCGCAATGGGTCTAGGAAGGTATGAGGCGGTAGAAAGGCACAACTAGTGTGTCAAAATATCAAGAAATTTTGAAAAACAATTCTGTGCCAAGTGCGAGAGACCTTTACCAGGATATGAATTTTATATTTCAGCAGGATGGCGGGGCATGCAAAATGGCTAAAACTACTAAAAAATGGTTTAGGGACATGAACATCAAAGTCCCCTCATGGCCTTAGCACAGTCCGAACTTTAATATTATCGAGACATGAGGCATAAAACAAAACAAAAATTGTGCCACGATCCCCAACGTTGCCCATTTGACGATGATATTATGTAAATTATGGAAAAATTTTTACTCTGGCGCATGTCAATCATTAATAAAAACAATACCAAACAGACATGCAGTGGTTGCAAAGGTTCATGCCGATGTAACGCCATATTAGAACAGTTATTTTTTAAAGTGTCCGAACATTTAGTTGTCACGATATTGTGCAATATTTTTCTTTATTTATTGGCCTACAGTTTATTTTAATATTTATAGAAACTAAACTATTTAAATACTCATTAGAAATGTTAGATTTTAATATATTTTTAATGTATTTCTTAAATGTAAATAATTCAGTTAATGAAAATAAAGGTTTTTAATAATTTTTTGTTTGTTCGAACATTTAGTTGTTAGGGCTCGTACTGACTACCTACTGATGATGCTAAAATGGCTAGCGAAACGTGAGTCCAGTGTTAAAAGCAAAGTATTTTGGTGTATTGTGGTGAATTAGTGTTTCAAAAAGACATTGCCTTTAAATCTATAGAATTGGCTAAAGAAAGTTTTACAGAAATAAAAAAACTACTGAGGAACTTAATACAGTTAAAATACATATGTATTGTGACAAGAATTTTTAATTATATCTAAATAACGGTTAAAGGCTTTCTTTATAGAATCATTTGTAGCTTTTTACTATATAGAAAACCATAGTTATAAAACGTAGAATTACTTTTATTCACCAAACCATTTCAATAAACGATTAAAGACATTATTTGCAGTTAAAATACACAAAGTATTGAACTTATGAATTGCATTAAATGCATCATGATACAGTAAAATGCGATAATTCAAACAGAGGCATTGTAAACCAAATAATTTGATTTCTAAAGAATTCTGTTTTTTTTATTCTGGTGGTAATCCCATGACATTCGCAAAAATATTTTTAGAAGAATGTTTGTGGTTTGTTGTACGAATATAAACAATAATAGTATTGTAAAAATGCTCGTTAAAATGTATAACATTTTAGAAGTACATTGCGTATTTTACGAAAAAATCATGAAATTTTTTACCTTTTTCTACGGGTTTTTCCTCAATAACAAATCCATTCTTCTTCTCTGCCTCAGCAATTTCAAAGGTTTCTTTAACCATATTCTTTTATTATTTCCAAAACACTATTCACAAAAATACTGGACCACACAAAAACACACTCTTAGCCCATCACAGACTAAAACAAAATTACATCAAACTTCCTGTTACTCTCGGACTATTTATTTTATTCCGAAATTTTCAAAATACCAGCCCAGTGGAGTGTCAAATATCAGTGACACTTCCCCTGTGACATGCGAAGAAATTTAAACGGTGACCTGTGCACTGTCCGATCTTTTATATCGATCGGAGTAGGCTACGTACTATGAATGATCGCACGAATCTTTTTCGATTGTCAGTCACGATTGTTGATGTTTTTACGGTTGTTTTATCGAAGTAGCTGGCGCTAGCGGATTATAGTGGTGTGTGGAAACTATAGATAATTGATATAATAGGGCAAGAGGTCGAAACCTCTTTGATACTACGAACGATATCTTGTAGCGTTTTTTTTCAATTTTTGAATGTCTTCTTCGTCGGTCTTTAAATGATAATTTGTACAGGATGGCGCCTCTCATACGCCGCGAAGAACGACAGTTTGTATTGAAATGAAATTTTGTGAGCATATTGTAGGTTAATTCAGAACCCTTTTTAAAAATATAGAGAGTTCTACAGGGTGTCCTCAAAAAAGTTACATATCGAAGTTGTGTTTTTTGTAAAGGAACACCCTATATATTAATTGATTTTCGGATTATGGGAGAAAAATAAAGGTGAGTTTTATGAGAGAAGTATATGACTAAAATGTAAGGTTTTCGATATATTTAACATTTTCTAGAAATAAAAAACAATTTGTAAATTACAATAAAAGCTACCTAAATTGGAATTTACCCGGTATAGTATCTAGTTAAATTAACTATTGTACTTTAAATCAAATTAAAACTTGATCTAAAATGTTATACAGGGTGAGACAAAATTAATATTGAACAATGGTCACCTTTAAAAGCATGTTACTCTTTTATTTTAAATGTATATTATAATGCACCCAGTATATTATTCTGATATTCAATGGAGAATGCATGTCCCTTCAACATACTATTAAAGTTGCCTACTCCTCAAACCAAGATTTTCTTAGATATATTCATTTACATGATTTGATCTAAATAGATCTTTATTATTTGATAAAATCTAGGTGGCTGTGATATGTCTGACGTTACTTCAACATAGCTGTCTAATTAGTCCAACTTTAACAACTAGTTATCATTTTCTGTCAGTTAAAACACAAAAAAATTCTCAGAAATTTGCCGAAAATGCAAACTTATCCTACATTAGAGAGAATTGATATGATTTTATTAGTTGGCGAATGCAGTGCGCATTCACCAATTAATAGAATACTTAAATGCTCTTGATTTTATCTAATCTGTTTTTTTTTATGGGGATATGTTAAAGAGACTGTTAACAAAACTCGACCAACTATTGTCGACAACATGAGAGAAATTATTCTAGCTGCTTCGAGGTAGAACTCCACATATGCCTTTTAAAATGAAAAGATCCATTTGAAAAGACATTTTATGCAGTTAACAGGAAAGAAAGCATTTTTAGCATTTGATTTCATCTAGCTAATTTTTATCACATAATTATAGGTTTATATCTAGTTTTAATTCTGTAATGATTAAAATATGTTTTAAACGTGTATCTTTTTATTACCGTTGAGTATTTTACTCTACAATCTTTAATTTTTGTTAAATTAACAAAAGGTATAGGTATCACACAGGTTTTGGAGATATTCGCGGTTTTATATTTCATATGGCATTTTCCACAGTAATTTTTTAACAAAGTCACCCAATGATTTTTCTCTCGTATTTTACCATTGAAAGAGCCCATCGAAAGAGCCCTAATAATGCGGGTATTTGTGGAACCATTAAAAACTTTAAAATACTCCAAATACAAAAAATGTTCATTTGTTAATTCTCTATCTAATAAAAAAATAATATACAAAGTGTTCAATTTAAAAACAAACAAAGAAAAATTATTTTATATTTTAGAAAATTTGGCGAAATTTTGAACACCCTGTATGATTTAAGATTACGATACTTATAGCAAAGTAAGTATATAGACCATCTAAAGTAAATACCGTCTAAAATAAATATAGTTTTGATTTCAGGACAGTTCCTCTATTTGTAATATTTTTATTAAGGAAAGTTGGAAAATACATATATATTTTTAATTATTTATTAATATTCTTGTGTATAAAGCCATTTCCTGTGTTGACTTAGTGTTTTATTTTGCTATTCCAACCCCAAATATATTATACTTCTAATATTTTATTATACAGGGTGAGTCTAAAACCAGTGCAAATATTTTCAAGGCTGGTAGATAAAAGAAACATATTTTCTCTTTACCGTTTTTCAAACAAATCCAAAATACCCGAAATATTTTACTTATAAAACATGATATTTTGAAAATCACTGGATCTTTTCTGGGTTTTCTTTCTTGTAAATTTAATCCACTACCTATGTTGCCATGTTTTTTAACTAAAAATTAAAACATTTTCCTAAATATTTTTCAAAAAATTCCAAATTTTCAAAATTTTTTTTCGCGAAAAAAATCTCATAGACGTGTTTGAAATATTCTACCCCTAAAAATATTTGCACTTATTTAAGACCCGCCCTGTATATTATTCCCTGACTTATTTATAAATGAGGAAACTCTAGTGTTTAACTGATATTTTGTATATTTTTTATATGTATAGAGTGATTAAGACAAGAAAAGCAATAGTTTAAAAATCTTATTAAAACTGTACAGGGTGTCCTAAGTTTGAGCTTCATTAGAAGATCGGGGTCTCGGAAACTAGAAGAAATAAGAGGTTTTCTAAATAGGGAAAAATGCGCAATTTGATGCTGATCAAAATGTTACCCTAAAAGTTTCAAAAATTCCGAATATTTCTGGAGATTTTTGAAAAAAAATACAAATATATTTTTCATTCTTTTTTTAAATAAATTTCACGTTGCCATTGTTGATCTTTTCTTGTTCGACAAGGAAATGTTTCATATGGGTTCAAAAAACACTCGGTATAGGCATATTTTTGTAGACACGCGTTCATTTATCTTACACTCTTTCGTGTTTTGATGTCCTAAATGAAGTTTATGATTAAGTACTGTAAAACATCTTAAGTAGTGTTTACCTAAAGATATAATCTTTTAATCTCCATTTTTGTAATGATATGACAGTATTTTTATTAAACTGATTGTCATTTGAAATTATTACTATCGATAAAATATTTATTGCATTATTGATTGATATTTTTGAGATTTCTAGGACTAACATTATAGGAAGTAGAATATTTTAATATTGTTTTAAATACTGTATGATCGAAAAAAACCTCACGTTAAAGACGGCTGGGAATGACAATCGATGATAATTTTGGCGAGGTCAATCTCTAGACGCCATTTACTAAAAATTGGGAAATGTAAACTTGTCAAAATTGACACTAATTATATAAAGGATAGAACGTTTCCAGACACACAAATTTATTTTCAATTTTTTTTCTAGTTTTAAAAAGAGTACGGTACAAATAATGACATCTAGAGCTTGACCTCGCCAAAATTATTATCAATTGTTACTCCCCAGTCGTCTTTGACGCTGTTTTTTTTTCTCAATCGCATGGGATAAATATTTACACTAGTTAATTTAGCTAAAATGCGTCGTCTTATGGAGTTTGCTGGTGATCGTACTATGATGTGCAGCAAAAGTTATTCCAATATAATAAAATATAAATTTTCTGATATTTAGAACAATATATTCTTGAACATACTGTATATTATTCAGATACACAATTTCAATAATTCATTTTCAAAGTATAAAAAACTGATAGAAGTATAATAAGAAATGTTAAAAAAACACAAAACAAGAACAATAACTCAAGGTTCAAATTTCTTTAAAAAAACACAGATCCTGCTATTTTAATATAATCTATTTGAAGTTATTGTATATAAATATTATCACCAACTTCCTTATTATATAGAAAAGAACTGTAAATTTTATTTTTGTAATAGAAAATAAAAATTGGAAAAAATACTTTAAAAATATTTTTCATTTTCCTATTATTAGCATACACATACATATTTATGATATATCCAACAAGAGGATACATCATAATAATGAGAGTTATGTTTGTAGTTTTATTAACAGGTAAGTTATATACATATTGTCTGTCATTTTTTGGATGATGTCTGATGGAACTTTTTCCTGTATTGTTGCATAGATTATACTACTTGTATTTATTGCATGTATATTTCTTATGAGTATCACCATAGTAATCACATACTTACGTTACCAGATAAAAAAATGCAAGATATCAAAAAATTTAAAAAATAGTTTGACCTGATTCTTTATGAAACCTACTTTTTAGAAAAAAAAGTACAACATAGATTGTCTAATCTCATTCCACTTTAAAATTGAATTATTTCGCTGATTATCAAGGGCTGCTATCGAATCAATCTTTTGTAAATTAACTTAGCCATATCATTATGTATTAAGGATGATTGTATGTCATTGGAGTATGTTGTATCAAAAAGTAATGTTTCACCCTAAATTGTATTTTTACATACGTTTAATCTAGAGATAGGAATTCTAGTTCCTTAGTTCTAGTTCCCCCAGAGGAATAGTTCCTTGAACAAGGTCTTTAGTTCACAATGGTTCACAATAATAGTTCCCGACTAACATTGACATCCCCGTTGCGTGCTAGTAGGTTTCGTTGTCAGTCAGAACTATTCACAGTATGATCTGTTTTTTTTGTTTGATTGATTGTTCTGATATTTTTTTATGTACGAAATATAACGAGACGTGTAATTGCATATGTCCAAAACATATATGTAATTTTTATTGCAGATAAAAAAAAATTAAAAATAAACTCAAATCAGAGTTTAAAAAACTATATCACAAATCAATTGGAGCAAAGAAAACAAAAATTTTAAGAAAAAATTGCATTTTTACTCACTTTAAGTTCTTTGTTTTTGTCTAAAAATTCAGAATATCTAGTTCGTTTTATAAGATATTTCTAGGAACCTAAAGTGAAACATTCTCATAAAATATTCAAAGAACAAACTAAAAACCAAAAACAGTATCCACGACAATTTTCTATGGTAATTACGCCGGCTAGGCTGTGGCAATAGACAATGCCGAATTCGTCGTCGTCACCTTGTATGATATCTCGGATCTGCCGACTGAATAAATCCCCGTGAACTAGTCTTTTAATTAGTTCCTCTCAGTCGTTTCGGTCTGGGACAGGTAACATACGGCTGGCACTCTCCACTCCCGCCTAGCATCGGGCTACGATCGCGCTGGCCTATCCGTACGTAAACT